AGAAAAATCGTTCAAATCACTCCCTCTCCCCCCCGCAACCTCTCCAGGAAGTCGTCCTGGATTTCGCCTATGGGAACATTTGCATATCACATGGAATAGTAGGGCAGCTGAAGCAAGAAGGAAAGGATCTGGCAACTTCAGGCCTTACTCATACCTGCCACTACTCCTTTTGCAAAAAATTAAGCTTTACAGCTAAGAATTCCCATAATGAGACGAGGAAGTTTCAGTCTTCAAAATAATTCGCCAATCTGAGATGCGCTTACTTACTCGATAGCGCAAGAATGCCAATTTGAACAGTTTGTTGAGCAGTCTACGCAACTGCTCATTTTCCTTCGCATATTTCTTGTCTTCTAATTTAATCCGTAGTGGAAGCCACATCACTGCCAAACAATTCAACAGTACGAGCGAGGAACGCCAAATTTCCGACTTTTCACTTTTATCGTCTGGAAATTCAAGAATTCAATGGAAAACAAAAAACGATTTTGGAATTAACTTTTTTCCTATGAAAAAGTTTCAGGCTGTCTGACGATTCCCATTCCTACCCGCATGCATAGTCCGGTCTGCGTTTATAGCTAAGGAATGAAACATAGGCTGCATCATAAAATATCACCCTACTACTACTTCTGAAGGATGAAAGACAGTTTGCACTGTAAAATATCACCTTATGCATGACAACTGAGTACAATCCCTCTGGTCTACTGCTTCGAAAATTTGGAAACCCGCGAGAACAGAGACAAAAAATGCAAAAAAAAGCATTTTTCTGAAACAGATCATTGGAATTTGAGAAAAGGGCACAAATGCGACCGGAAAATTACTGACCTTGGTTCGGTTCAATGAACGTTTCACACATGCTAAACTCGGAGCATATTGTTTCATCAACTTCAGCACTACCACCATCACGTCCTTCCACTGAACGTAATGCTTTATAAATAGCAAGAGCAAGATATCTTGCGTGTTCTACTGGAATAGAAAGGTTATTAATAAGGGATGAAATATTGAAGAATCAAAAAGGAAGGTGGGAAATGAGGGTATGAATTAGAAAATTTGAAAAATTAGTCAAAATTATCATAAAATTATTAAAATCAATAGCATGTAAAAGGCACAAGGCAAGCCTACTTTCAAGTACCATCACTAAAAATAATATCTGATCTGGTAACATTGCGTCTTTTATGAAAAGTCTTTTTAGAAGAGCAGTCTCAGGGCGATAAATACTGTTCACTGTCAAAGCCGTCCTAAACGCGGATTTTAAAGTATCCATAGGCGAATCTAGGGGGTCTTTCGTTCCCCTTACCTCCCCGTCCCCCTCCCACCCTGTCCCCACCGTTCCTACTCCCTCCAATCAGCAGCACAGGCACCAGGTCTAAGCTACAACTAAAGTAAACTAAAGCCTAGAGTAACTCCACACTAAAGAAACTTTAAGTAGCACTGTTATAACTCCATCCCTAGTTCTTGCATAATTCCAAGGTGGGATGGGGCTCTTCCTTATCACCGTCTCTCTCCTTCCCGAGAGGCCTCACTTTCCTCAATCCTCCCCCCCCC